CCCTAAACTCCAGACTAATGTATATTGCAATCCCTATTTAATGGCTCCACTTAGACGTTTAATAAGCATCTCAAAGTTGGCATGTCCACAGCTGAACTCCCAATCTACCCTCCAAAACCTGCCCTTCCATCAGTCTTTCCCATCTCAATGGAAGGCAACTCTCTCCTTGTGGCTCAGGTAAAAATCAGCACCATTTTTGACTTTTCTCCTCTCATTCACCATATCCAATCATCAGCAAATCCCAATATCTGTATCTTAGAGATGTATTCAGAAACTGACCATTTCTCAGATCTGCCACTGCTCCCATGCTGGTCCAAAACACCACCCCTTGCTCGCCTGATTACTACAACAGCCTTCTGTCCCCTGATCTGCCCTTTCTTCCTTCTAGTCTATTTTCAGCACATCAGCCAGAGTGATCCTATCAAGCACAGTCAGATCAAGTCACGTCCTCTGCTGAAAATACTCTCATAATTTCCCATCTCATTCACATCTCTGACCTTACCTCCTACTCCTCTCCCCCTCATTCACTCTACCACAGATACAACAGCCACTTTGGCTCCTCTAGGACATACCAAACCTGCTTCTGCCTCAGGGCCTTTGCACTGGATGTGCCCTTGGCCCCGAGTGCTCAGTCCTCAGATACCTGCATGGCTTGCTTCCTTACCTTCCTCAAATCTTCCCTCTGACGCCTCCATTTGATGAAGTTTTCCAGAGCCACCATATTTAGAACTTCAACCCACCACCTCCCTAGTATTCCATTTCCAGTGTCCCTGCTAATTTTCCTCCATAGTACATGAAAGCATCTTCAGTATTTACAATTTATTTATCTTTTTTATTGTCGGACTCTCTCAGACAGACAATTCCATTCAGTGCTGTATCCCTGACACCTAGAACAGAACTTAGAACATACCAGATCAATATTTAATGATTAAAAGAATAACTGACTGAAGCCCAGAAAGGTTAAGCAACTTTCTCAGGGTCACACAGATTGTATGGGCCTGGATACACCCAAGTCTACCTGGGATTAGAGCCCAAGCTCTCATCCATCACACTAATCTGAACAAAGGAAGAGAACTCTAAACCACACCCAAAGGCAGGCGTTTCTATCATCTCCTTTGTGTGTGTGTGTGTTTTTAAATTTTTTAATTGATTATTAGAGAAAGAAAGGAAGAGAGAGAGAGCAAAAACATCAATGTGAGAGAGAAATATGATCGGCTGCCTCCTGCACGCCACCTACTGGGGATCAAGCTGGCAACCTGGGCATGTGCCCTGACCGGGAATCAAACAGGCAACCTTTTGGTGCACAGGATAATGCCCAGCCAACTGAGCCACACCAGCCGGGGCAATCATCTCCTATGTTTTGACCTCCCAGAGCTGCACACTGCAGCAGGGCTAGGGCTGCCTTTGCTTCACTAGACAAGATTTCTTTCTTTCTGCTCAGTGGCGGGGATGCCTGGTACCTGTGTTGGTAGAAGGGGAAGTCTTTGGCTTACCTGTCACTGCCATGGCAACCAGGTAACCTAAGGACTCCAGAAGCAAGTCCTTTCAGATTGAGAAGGGGAAAAATGAGGCTAGCCCAAAATAAACAGAAAGAAACCTGTGAACGGAGAACTGACTGGGGCCTTGTGCCTGCCACTTGCTGTGTCATTGGCAGCAAGGATAATCCATCCTGTTCTCTCCCTACCCTCCAGCTCAGCCATGGCCAAGGGCAGTGGATCACCTTGTTCTGCTTCCCACCTCTAGCATGACCCCACTTAACCCATCCAAGGGCTCACGCTGTTCTCTTCAGCTTCCCCAGGGATGGGTACCCCAAAACACTCTCAGTGACCTCTTGATAACACAGAGGACAGTCCTGGCCAGAAGTTAGGAGTTCTGACCCCCTACCCACCTCAGAGGGGCAGACTCTTAGTTCCTTAATCTCAGCTTCTCTCTGGGGCTCAGTTGACCTTTACTTAAAAATGACTCCCTTCCTTACCTATTTGATAGTAGGAGAATCAAGTGGAACTGTAGTAAAACAAACAAACAAACAAACAAAAACACAACGAACTATGAAATTAAAGTCCTTAGGGAAATGCGAGGTAGAATTGCCATATTTTCACAAGAGATCTTACTTGTACCAGGCACTGTGCCCAGCATTTTATGTGCTTGATCTCACTCAATCCTTACAGCCACCCTTGAGAAGGTAAGAGCTGCCCACAATGGGAAGATGAGGAAATGCTGCCTCAGAGAGGTTAAGAAACTTGCCCAAGTTTGCACAGCCAGTAAGTGGCAAAGAGGCCTTCAAACCTAAGAAGTCTATCTCCCAACACTATGCAATCCCCCCGTCCTGCACTGTGTCCAGTGGGGCCTGGGGGTTACAGAAGAACTGATTTTTCTCACCCTAGTCATCCCCAGGACAGTCCCTGGGCCCCAGAGCGCCAAGCAGATCATCAGGGAAGTGTGTGGTTCCCTCCCATTTACTAAGCCCCTTTGATCTGTGGAGTTTGCTGAGCTCAGAGGACAAGATCATAATAATCCCCCAGCCCAAAGGCTGGAGCCTCAGGGGCTGGTCCTCTCTCACAGCCTGGCGCCCATCCAGTCAGTGTGTCCAGTTCCACGGGGTTTGCAGGAGCAGCCCCAATCCCAGAGGAAACAATTAGAGAATGATTAAGTGCCAAACTGTGGGTGATGATGTGGGAGAGGAAGCGAGTCTGTACGCTGGTGGTGGGGTCCCAGCTGGGCCAGGAAGGGGTTGGGTCTGGAAAGGAGAGACCAGAGAAGAGACCGAAGGGTACAGGTGTGGGAAGGACGGCAGGGTCCGGGATGCAGGAGGGGAAGGAGCAGAGGAGTGTGGTGGGAAACTCAGAGTCTGATGATGTCAGAGAGACCCAGATTCCCAACCTGGCCATGCCACGGCTGTCTAGGTGACCTTGGGTTGGTCATTTCCCTTTCTCTTCGATAGAGGTCCCTTTACATCTAGAGATGTTCACCACCTCAGTTTCTTCCTTCCTTCCTTCCTACCTTCCTTTACATCGAGAGATGTTCACCACCTCAGTTTCTTCCTTCCTTCCTTTCTTTCTTTCTTTCTTTCTTTCTTTCTTTCTTTCTTTCTTTCTTTTTAAAATATTTTTATTTATTTCAAAGAGGAAGGGAGAAGAAGAAAGAGATAGAAACATCAATGATGAGAGAGAATCCCTGATTGACTTCCCCCTGCACACCCCACACTGGGGATTGAGCCCGCAACCCGGGCATGTGCCCTGACTGGGAATAGAATCACAATTTCCTAGTTCATAGGTCGACGCTCAACCACTGAGCCACGCTGGCTGGGCTCACCACCTCAGTTTTCATGTTCCACCATTTAATCTCTAACAGAGTTTCCTGAAAAGAACATCAAGTCTAACCTGAATCCGTCTGGCTGCTGGCTCATTTCCACTTCTGTTCTTGAGAAACACAGGCATGACCAGTCAGAGATGGTGACGTGTCCAGGTTAAGGCCTCTTAGAGCCCTAAACACAAAAAGAATATGGCTTTACTCCCAATATACATAAAAATATACTAAATAAAACTTGCGTAAGTGCCAAGATTAAAATAGCTTCTTTGCAGGTTTATTTATTTGGTAAAATTCTGGATTGCTTCCTCCATCAAAGTTAACCTTTTCTAACAGTTTGGGTGTCCTTGCTTTCCACTGTTTGTGGTGCCCCAAAAGTCCCTGTTCTGCTTTTTGGGTTGCACAGTCCTAAGGGAGAGTGGGGGACCGGGAGCTTCAGAGAAGCAGCACACCATTAACCTCTTGGCCGGCACTGGGACCGGGTCATGCCCCCCACCCCCTTCTCACATAAGTATGTTGAGGTTGGGTTGAGGGGGGTGACTCCAGTGAGCCCTGAGGGTCCCACATCCAGAGCCACAACAGAGGGCCCAGGCCTTGTTCTCAGGGGTGGCCCAGCTCTCCTGTCTCGTGGCTGCAGCCTTCACTGTCGCCTGGCACCATTTTCGGGGGCCGGGAGTAATGTCTCTTACCTGATCGGCAATTTGACTTGGCTGCTTAACAACCGATTAATCAAACCCAGTTCGTCCTGTTAGAATAAATGAGCCTAGGAAATGCTGCCATGAATAATGAGGGCTTTTGTCTCTCACCCAGCACCTCTCCCCACTCCCTCCTATCTCCTTCCCAGAGACACACGGCAGCTACTCCATACCAAGGATTTCTACCCCTCTTCCAGGTGCCCCTGCTGCCCACCCAGAGCCAGAGCTGGCCATGTCCTAGAGCAGCGGTTCTCAACCTGTGGGTCGCCAACCTGTGGGTCGCGGCCCCTTTGGGGTCGAACGACCCTTTCACAGGGTCGCCAAAGACCATCGGAAAACATATATATAATTATATATTGTTTTTGTGATTAATCACTTGCTTTAATTATGTTCAATTTGTAACAATGAAAATACATCCTGCATATCAGATATTTACATTACAATTCATAACAGTAGCAAAATTACAGTTATGAAGTAGCAACGAAAATAATGTTATGGTTGGGGGTCACCACAACATGAGGAACTGTATTAAAGGGTTGCGGCATTAGGAAGGTTGAGAACCAATGTCCTAGAAGAACAAAGCCTCTCGTCCATCAAACAGACATGTGTGCATGCATGCCCCTGCCAAAGCTGGATAGTGTCTGTTTCAGGCACTGTAGTGGGTACTAAGGACACAAAGATGAATAATATACTGTTCCCGTGAGGGGTAACAGTGTATGACCCCCTTTGGATGGCAGAAGGCTTCCATAGAAATCAACTCACTCATTTTCACAGCAACACTAGGACTCAGGCAGCACAGAGGCTAAAACTCCACTGACGTGTCCTGGCCCCCACGGTGGAGAAGCTGGAGCCCAGGTCTTCTCTGTGGGGTCTGGTGCCTGCCAGCAAAGCTTGTGGCTTGGTTTCAGTGGCGTGGTCTAGGCTACCCAGCCTACCGCCTGCCCACCTGCTTGCCAGCCTAATTCTGGGCCTCACCACCCTGTGCCTCTTGTCCTGCAGGGGGAGCTGCTGAGCCCGTGCCGCTGCGATGGCTCTGTCAAGTGTACCCACCAGCCTTGCCTCATCAAGTGGATCAGCGAGCGTGGCTGCTGGAGCTGTGAGCTGTGCTACTACAAGTACCACGTCATTGCCATAAGCACAAAGAATCCTCTGCAGGTACCACCGGGGGCTGCCCGCTGGCTGGGGGCGCTGGTTTGTTGGGACCCGGGCTTCCCACACCCCCTGCCTTCCTGGGGGAGGACCATTTCACCTTAGAGTCAGGGCAGTTTGGAGAAAAGAAATGAGGTAGGCTAGGTGGGCAAGATCACAGATGGCATTTGGGCAGGAGGAAATGAAAAAAATGTTTGTGTATTTTTTTAAGCCTCAGTAAGAAGAGGAGAAAGGAATGAGGCAAAGAGAGAAAAATAGATATAGAAGGAAAGAAGGGCAGAGTCAGATGGAAAAGAGAATAAGAGAGTAATGGACAGATGGATGGATAGATGATGGATGGATAGATGATGGATGGATGGATGGATGGATGGATGGATGGAAGCAGAAAGGAAAGGACAGGACAAAGAAGAAAGAAGGGAGGGAGGGAGGGAGAAGAAGAAAGGAAGGAAGACCAGAGGACAGAAGAGAACAGAATGAGAAAAAGAAGAGGGTGGAAGGGGTGAGGAGAAAGCCTGAGATAAAGCTAAGGGCAAGAAAAGAGGAAAGAAGGTGAAAGGAGATTCAATGGCACTTCCCACCCTTTAATGTACATGCAATTCACCTGGAATTTTGTTAAAATGCAGACATGATTCAGGAGTCTGGGATGGGGCCTGAGATTCTGCATTTCTGATAAGCTATGGGTTGGTGGGGTGGTATGGATGCTGCTGATCCACGAATCACACTTGGGTGACAGGGACCAGAGAAGAATGGAGAAGAGACAGGAGAGGGAGGCAGAGGGAAAGTGAAGAATGGGCAATAAGGAAGGAAGAGCCCTAGCTGGTTTGGCTCAGTGGATAGAGCATCGGCCTGCAGACTGAAGGATCCCAGGTTCAATTCTGGTCAAGGGCACATGCCCAGGTTGTGGGCTTGATCCCCAGTAGGGGGGTGTGCAGGAGGCAGCCGACCAATGATTCTCTCTCATCATTGATGTTTCTATTGCTCTCTCCCTCTCTCTTCCTCTCTGAAATCAATAAAAATATATTTTAAAAAAATAAGGAAGGAAGAAAAGGGGAGAAGCTACTGTGAAGGGCAAGGGCAGGGAGGGGCAGGGCTGAGGTGGGGTCTACCAAGCAGATTTAGACAGGGCTGGACCTGTAAGAACTGAGGGGTCCCCTACCCCATCCTCCCACCCGGCCCTGACACATCCATCTTCCCAGAGGAGCCGGCAGGCCCTGCACCACCCCGTAAATCCTCCAACTCAAGCAGCTCTCCCTCCGAGGCACTCGCATATAGAGAGTGCGTGGCTTCTGAAAATACCTCCATGTGCACATGGTCAGCCAGTTAAGCTGCCAGGTCATCAGTTAGCCAGCAGGCTAGTGAGGGTGGGAACTGAGCATCTGCACAGTGGTGTCACTCTCCTCCCTGAGGGGGAGGGCAGAGTGACCCTGCGAGCCCAGGAGCGTGCTGGTTTGGTGGTGATGGTGGAGTGGGGTCTCTGCAGGGGGCGGGGGCAGGTGGAAACCTGGAGCTGCCGTGTCCAGGGCGTTTTATGTTAGACACTATGCAGCTTACATGGGGCACTGCCAGGAATGAGTGTGTGTGTGTGTGCGTGTGTGCGCGCGCAGTACGTGTGTGTGGACCGGGGAGGGGGGGCATTTTTTTCTGGAAGGAGACATTAAAAGCCCCAGGCACCTCAGCCATCCTGATGGTGGAACAAGGGGTCAGAACAAGAGGTGCCTCCCCCTGTGCTGGTTCCATCTCCAGTCATTCGTTTCAAATCTTGCAGTGTCTTAAAATAGCAGTGTCGTGAGACAGCTGATTCCACACCCTTGTGCTGTAACTCTCCCCTTCCTTCTCGGCTGACTCAAGCCTTGAAGAAGGGTCAGGGTCCAAACCTACAAGTCTCCCCATGAGTGCCCCCTTGGCTCATTAGCAGGCATTGGCCTTTGACTCATAAGATGAAAAACCATTTAGGGATAACTCTTTCCTGTGGGGTGGGGGAGGGGGGGAGGTTATTCTAATCTCATAAGTACAGCACACAAATGGCAGAATTGACAAAATTTAGCTATTAATTTACTGCTAAGTCACTACCGTGATTCTGCTGCTTTTGGAAATGCAGTGGTGTCACTGCACTTTTCCAGACCCCACAGAAGGAAGTAGTTTGGACTAGCAGCAGTGTTGTGTGGTTGTCGCCCAAATTGTCCCAGTTGTGTGTCCTGGGCTCCTTGGGCCCAGCCAAGTGTGAGACAGCTGCCTGCTGAGCCTCAGTGGGACAACTTCTGCTCCCACAACTCAGGCAGACCGCCCGTGGTACGGGACAGAGTGGGCAGGCCCCACCGCCAGTGAGCAGAGCAATGGATGGTAGCCCGGGGCTGCCTCTGCTCAGTGTGGGGAGGTTTCTCCCAGGCCCCATACAAAGTGGTGAAAAACAGCAGCCATGACAGTATGTTACCTCAGTGACCCTCTGCAAGCTCTGGTTCTAGCAGAAGAGCCACTGAGAAGAGTTTGGGGGTGGCCCCATGGTCTTTGTGGTTATTTCTTACCCTTTCTGCTACACCTGAGCTGCAGTCACATTAATGTTCAGTGGGTGCTCACTGGGAGCCAACCACTGTTCTACGTATTCATGTATATTATCTCATTTAATATTGAAAACAACCAATGCAGTGGGTACTGTTATTCCCAATTTACAGATGAGACAGTGGAGGCACAGAGGGGTCAGCAATCTGCCCAGGGTCACCCTGGTGGAGCAGGGTTGCATCCAAGGGGTCTAACTCCTGAGTCTGGCCCTTAACCTCTACCCTATAGTGCACAGCACTGAGTTTGCTGAGTACATTTACCTTTAGGCAGCCCCCACCTCTACGTGCATAACTATATTTTTGCTGAAATATAACGAAGAAGCACAGAAAGTTATTTCATTTAACCCTCACAATATTCTAAGAAGTGGGACTGATTATTTCCACTTTTACAAAAGGGCAACTTGAGAGTCTTTATGACATATTGACTTCTCCTAGGTCACACTCTGCAAGTTGGGGCAGAGCTCGGCTGGAACTGGGTCACCTGCCCAGACTCAGTGCCCCACGTGCGTTCCCTATGTTGCAGAACAGGCGGCGCTTGAGAATCTCGCATTTAGAATCTTGCTCTGTGTCTGGTGGCTGCAGAGCCTGGAGCCTCTGGAGCCCTCCCCCCGCTCCCCCGCCCCACCAGCCTCTTTGAGACCTTAGTCACTTGTTCTCTGCTTTCTCCTTGCACTTCTGCTCCCGCACCTTTTGGGGAGCCTCACGTGGAACAGACAGGAGGGCAGCCTTGACGATGGCCCCCACCCCACTCCTTCTTCATGCTTCAGACTGTAGTTGGGGCCCTGTTTAGTTTCCACAGGTGGCTTGGGGGCTGGTAGGAAAGGGCTTTAGAAATTAAGGGGACTTTTCCGTGCCTTTGGTTTTGGGATTTTTAAAAATCTGGAGCAGGAGAAAGTGGAGGTTATTGATGACTTAATGGTAGAAACAAAAAAGCCCAGGCAGGAACCCTCTTCACAGACAGTGGGACAGGCCTGGAAAAAGCATTTGTTGTATATGAGCAACATCTGTAGGTTCGGGTTACAGACTTCTGGAAAATCCCCTTGTTATGTGTAACCCTAGGCAGGAGGAAACAGTGGAAAATTTAAAGGCCCAATGACGTGTAATGGGATAATTAAATGTGAAGGCGGATGTCCTACATCTAGACTAGCAAACAACATGTTTTCCAATGGTTACAATTCCTTGGGGGCCATTGATCAGTCCCGGCTGGAGCCAGAATCAGTGCCCCCTTCCCGACCATTGAATGCAGAGTGAACGCTCACTGTTGGCAGGTGGAGGGTAACCTGCCTTTCCTCCGGTTCAGGCTGAAATGCCCTAGGAGTCTTCTCTGCAAGGTGTTATGCAACTTCCTATGATCAGGAGATTGTCCTTCCTTCCCTCTTCCCAAACCTGATCCTTGTAAAATTGTCCAACTTCCCTGCTTAAAACTGTTCAAAAGCATCATATTTACTCTTAGGACAAAGTCAAACATCTGTGCGTATCCTTCAAGATTCCACATGGTCTTCCCCTCTTATATTTCCAGTGTCTCACCCCACAACCTCTTCGCTCTCTCTGCTCCACTCACTCTGGTCTTCTTCCAGGTTTTCATACTCTCAGGGCCTTTGCACACATTCTTCCCTGGGCCTGGAGCCCCCTCCCCTCTCTTTCTCTAGTCAACTCCTACTCAACTCAAGCATCTCTTCTCCTGGGAAGTCAAATCCCCATTTATAGACTTCCACAGTGACATGGATCTCCCTTTCTTACTCCTGATAAATTACATTTGTAAGAAATTATTTGGTTGTCTGTGTTTTCTAGCATGTAAGCTCCATGAGAGCAGAAATCGTGTATGTTCTTGCTTACTACTTTGTCTCTGGCACCTAGAAGAGTGGCTGGCACATAGAGACTACTCAGCACATGTTTGTTGAGTGACAGCATAAATAAATCCCAAACTAAAATCCAACCCCAGGCTCATTCAGGCCTCTGCTACCTAGATCGTCATAGAATAGCAGAATTTCAGAGCTGAAACTCACCCACACCTTAGACTTCAACCCATCCATCAATACTGCTATTAGTATAATACTTTTTCTGTTTTAAAAAAAAAAGAAACTTCAGTGTTCATATATAGTCAGTAGATTATACTGTTTTTCTTATCTCTCCTCCACATCCTGGGTCCTCTCCTAGTCTGTTGAATTGGTAATCTCCAGCATGTATATTAAATGGCATGCCAGGTGTTGTAGAAAAGTAAAAAAGGCCTGTGTCCTCTCAGCACCTATTAGTGTGAAAGGAAACAGTGCTGCTCTGAAAAGAATATTTGGGCCCTGGAATTCCAACCACATTAGCGCTGCATTTTCACTTCCTCCTCCCCATTTCTCTGTCTGTGTCACACTCAACTGCAAAGACCTTCCTTCCCAGCTATGCCTGCCCAGAACCCCACCCCTGCAATGACTTTTGATCATTTGGTGTGATATAGGTTTCTTCCACCCAAACAATATAAAACTAAAAAACTTGCAAGAATATCCATTGTGTCACTAGTTGGAAAGCCCTGGTTTAAATCCTAAACCAGTGGTGAGAGTTTGCGGGTGACAGAAGGAAGAGGGATGGGAATGGGATGAGGGTATCTGAGCAACAGCTAACCTACCGACCATTCATTCTCTGCCCCGCAGTGGCAGGCCATCTCTCTGACAGTCATTGAGAAGGTGCAGATTGCAGCCGCCATCCTGGGTTCCCTCTTCCTCATCGCCAGTATCTCTTGGCTCATCTGGTCAACCTTCAGTCCCTCAGCAAAATGGCAGCGCCAAGACCTCCTGTTCCAGATCTGCTACGGGATGTATGGGTTCATGGACGTGGTGTGCATTGGTGAGTCGGGGCCTGTCTCCATGGGAAGTGGGAAGCCAAATGAGGGTGAGTTAGACAAAGCCCTCAGGACCGCACCTTCTGGGAGGTCAAAGCAGAGAAGGCAGCACCCTTGAAACCTGTGAGCACAGGAGGGGCCGGTGGCTTAAATTTGGGAGGTCAGTGGGAAGCAGGGAAGGGAAGGAAGATCTAAGTCTTTCCAAGCACGTGTCTTGCCTGGTTGAAGATAGATAAGGAGACTTACTACTATGAACATTTGTGAAAAGTCCGTTGGTCAGTCTATCTGCCTCTGGCCGGATGAGGAAAGCCTCCTCTCTGTTGTGTACCCATGGCTGCCAAGCCAGACCAGGGCTGCCTGCACATTTAATCTCATTCTCTTCACAGCAAAATGCCCAGAACCAGTATTGAGGATGCCTGCCTCCTTTTTCCAGCTTTCCATAAGCCGATTCCAATGCCCAAGATTTCTCTAGTCTAGTTGTTTTCACACTGTGTGTAGCCCTGGGCTTCCACGCCCAGGAGTCGCCTTCAGGAGGGGAATGGAGTGCTGACCTGACGGGCTCTGACTCTTCACCCCTGTGTCACCCTGAGCTTCTGTGTGTGTGTTTTTTTTTAATCTATTTACATGTTTCCATTGCAGGTATGATTCTGTTTAAAAGGCATCAGTGTTTTAGAAAAAAGTCAGAAACCCACCACTTGAGTTCCTTCTTATCCCATTCCCAAATCTATGTTCCCCTCTCTAACCTCCAGTTAGTTTGGTTGGTGGAGGGTTGGTTGACATAGGCTGTCAACTCTGAAGTCTTCGTCCAAGTGACTGAGGAGTGGGGAGTGGTCCTGGTTTTCTGAGTGACGGGAAGCCTGCACATGCTGACCCGGAACTCTCAGATTTCCCCTAGGCCATAGCGCTCACAGCATCAGAGCACCACAGCTGTCTTCCCTGGGAATTTGTTTATGAATTATATAAAAATGCTACAAGGCTTTGTTTGGCAAAAAAACATCTATTAAGTAGAATTTGGCTGGGATGATATTAATGTGAGTTTCTCTGGGATCCTATAATATTAGAACCAGAGAGGTTGGACACTTGCATACTAATGACAGTAGCCAGCAACTAGTGATGCCGGAACTTGTAAGCTTGTCTAAGCAACTTGCTGCCTCTCTGCGCTAGTGAAACCAATACATCAACCCCTAGTTCAAGAGACTGTTAATTATGGCATGTAGGCAGTGAAATAAGCAGACTGCTCGGGTTTGGAGAGCGGTGGAAGAAAGAGGACCATTAATGGGAGGAATGTGACTTGAGGCATTCTAATTTAGTTCCCTCTTGCACAAAACTCCCTTCCTACTCCTGCTGAGGCCTGGCCTTGTTGATGCCAAAAACCAGTTGTGTCTCCATATGGAGGTATGGGGCTCTGGCATGGAGGGGCCTTCCTGTAGAGGCCCCTCCAGCTGCCCTTCATTCTCCTTCAGGCAGGTTTTTGATCTGTCATTGATATGAGCTTCTAGGAGACATGCTTTCCTGTCACGTGGTGTATTAGTCAGCTTTGGCTGCAGTGACAAACAAACTCCAAAATTGCAGAGCCTTATGACAGCAAGCATTTATTTTCCATTCATGGAACTACAAGATGGCTGTGGCTCTGCTGGACTTGGCTGGGCTTAGCTTCTGACTGTGCATTGGCTTTGGGCCTGCTTTGAGCGTCTCTTCCTGCTGGGCCCAGCCTAAAGGAGCAGGGACTACAGGAGTGTATTCTCTTAGCCAAGTGCAGGAGCACAGGAGGATTGGTTGACATGTGCAATGCTTCTCGAAGTTTCTGCTCAGTGCTGGTACATTGCTCCTTCTGCCCACAGACATTGGCCAATGCAAGTCACCAACTAGCCTTCCATCATAGAGGTAGTGGGGCAGGGAAGTATACTCCTCCTTTCCTGGTGGGAATATGGGTGAGAGAGAGGAGCATAAATACCACTTACCACTCAGGGCTCCATAGGTCTGACGATTGAGATAATTGAACATAGAGGAGATTGTACAATCGACCAGCACGACTCCCTTGCTTTGCAGTTGAGAGAGCTGGGCCCGGAGAAGGGAAGTGACCTGCTCAAGGTTGTTCATCTGGGAGTGGAACCCAGGTCTCCTGATTAGCAGTCCCATGTTTCTTCTATTAGCCCTCTCTCATCAGGTAGGAGTCCCAGGCGTCACTTATGGGACACCTGCAGATGCCAGCTGCCACTTTGATACACCTGTGTCCACTTACAGGAAGAGCCCTCACAAACAGGCCTGCCCTGCTCCCTGTGGCTCTGAGCCACCCAACACCCCCACTCTGGCCTATGGTGCTCTGGTCTCTCCTGCTCAGAGGCTGTTCTATCATTTTGTTAGCTATACTGGAGCTAACAGTGTCAGAGCATGTCCCCCAGGGCAAGGATTATTCTTCCCATTTTTTCAGACAGTAAAACTCTGAGACTGAAGGATTTGTCTTAGACTGAGTCGGACTCTCTGTTGTGTTTTGCTTTTTAAAAAATACATATTTTTATTGATTTCAGAGAGGAAGGGAGAGGGATAAAGAGATAGAAACATCAATGATGAGAGAGAATCATTGCTCAGCTGCCTACTGCACCCCCACCCCCACACCCAACACACACACACACACTGGGAATCGAGCCCACAACTGGGGCCTGTGCCCTGACCAGGAATCGAACCGTGACTTCCTGGTTCATAGGTTAACCCTCAACCACTGAGCCAAGCTGGCCAGGCCGTTCAGTGTTTTTCTAGGAGAGGCTGTCCCCAGGAGAAAATGCTGGTAGGAAAAATAAAAAAGGGAGTAATATGTGACTTGGAGAAGGGAGAGGGAGGTGATAGGCAGTAGTTCAAATGCACAGATTCTTATGGTGGCTGTGACAATGGTGATTTTGATGACAGTGATGATGATCAGTAGTGATGATAGTGGTTTTGAGGATAAAGTTCAAGTACGTGTCACTTCTCCTGCTCTGCAGTGTGCTGGCCAGTTGAGGAAAAACACACAGCACTGCATAAGTGGTTACAGAGTATCAGCTTTTTAGGGGCTCTCTGGAAGCAAGAAGCAGGTGAAGCCTGCAACATCTACCAGAGATTCTTCATTTCTAGGCTCAACTAGATATTCAGACCCACAGAACTACCAGTGAGCACACCTGGCACCAGATCCATTTAGAGCAGCGGTTCTCAACCTGTGGGTCGCGACCCCTTTGGCGGTCAAACTACCCTTTCACAGGGGTCGCCTAAGACCATCCTGCATATCAGATATTTACATTACGATTCATAACAGTAGCAACATTACAGTTATGAAGTAGCAACGAAAATAATTTTATGGTTGGGTCACAACATGAGGAACTGTATTTAAAGGGCCAGAAGGTTGAGTACCACTGATTTAGAGGAAAGTAGGATGAGAACCATGACCTCCACAAGGCAGGTCTGGCTTACCTCTGCAGGTGAGTCCTTGCAGGACATCCATACCGTTGTTGAGGGCTAGTCTCTTGGCCCCCAAATAATAGTTCAGGAAGGAAATAAGATTCACAATAGTGGGTGTAGGATTCACCGTGGCATAGTCTCCAGGGTCCCCACAGAAGTCTCTGTTTCCCTTTCCTTTCCTGTGGAACAGAATAATACCACCATCGTTAGAGTTGCTGAGAGGACTGGAGAAGATGGTGCATGTAAGGAGGAGGCACGCCTAAGTTATCAGTGGCCAGAGTAGGAGGCACCTGATCAGAGTAGGTTCCACCCGTAGGCACTCAGTAAAGGTTTGCTGAATCCAGTCACAGCCTAGAGAACCTGACCCTGTGTCCTCATGTAATTGAGAGTCTGCTGTGATTTGGAGCAGTGCTTCTTTCGGAAGGTCTTGGGTCCCCTCACGCGTGACCCCTCAATGAGAAGATCTGATTACATTGAATGTCCTCGCTCCACCTGCCTCTCTTCCGTCATCTCTAATGACACTGTCTGCCCCAGCAGGGAAGCTGACAGAGCCTCACAGAAAACAAATGGGACGTTCTCTGCTCCAGTGGGTCAAGTTATTAGAATTTAACAAGAGCAAATTAATTAAGGTCTTTGGCACCAAACACATTTTTTTTTTCTTCACTTCAGAGACCCAAGAGATTGGCCATCAAAGTGTCAACTTTGCAAACATAAGGACTTCATCCTTACCATGTTTGTTTCTTACTTGTGGGTGGACTGGGGTCAAGGGGAGGAAGGAGAGCAACATTTCTGAACTGGCTCCAAATCTTTAAGACAGTGGAATATGGTTGTTAACAAAATTATTTTAAAAATTTTTGTTAAAGTTTTCTCTGTGTGTTATCTATTCAGGTTATTTCCTTTGATTTAGAGATACCTGGTACCTGCCCTCTAAAATATAGGAATTCAAATCCTAATTTGTAGCAAGTGGGCAGGGGGTGGTGGCAGCAGAACTATAAAAACATTTTCAAATTTAATTTTAATTCATATTAACTTAAAATACATGTATGCCATAAAGACTCCTCCCTTTGGGCTAGAAATGACCTGCCTGTCAAACCTTTTAATTCCCTGATTAGAAAACTTTAAAAATATGGAGGAGGCAGCCAAAAATATGGAAGAGACTAGGAAATAAAAGATCTAGGTCTGAAAACAAGATTGGCCACTACCTACCTCTATGACCAAGTTACTTCCTCTTTCTACAACTCAGTCAACTCATTTGTAAAATAAGAGGGTTGAACCTGATAACCTCCAAAGTCCTTCTGGCTCTGACATGCTAGGATTTTGAAGTTATGTCCATTGTGAGAAGATATCATAATTCTCAGAGGTTGACAGCTGTGGCTGGGGGGAATCTCATTAATGGCGTGGAGGACAAACAACCCATAGGCATCAACCATGTAAACCAGCAAGTGAGGCCCAGTCTATGTTTCATTATCTGCATGTGACTTGTCCAATTTTCTGAATTTACTATTAACTCATATCTCACCCATGCCCTCCCTCACCCCTCATGGCTTCCCATGCATGACCACTTCTCCCCATAGCT